CTACCAGTGATCTCCTACAGTTGAAAAATACCTGCAGTAATGTGGCAGTAAATAAGATCAACTCAAAAAATCAGTAGCCCTCCTATATACAAATGAAAACGAAGCTGAAAGTGAAATCAGAAAAAAACATCACCATTCACAATAACCACAAATAGCATAAAATATCTTGGGGTAGCACTAATCAAAGAAGTGAAAGACCTGTTGAACAAGAAATTTAAGTGTTTGATGAAATAAAAGAAATACCAGAAACGGAAAGGTCGTCCATATTTTTGGATAGGTAGGATCAACATAATAAAAATGGCAATCCTACCAAAAGCAAACTACAGACTCAATACAATCCCCATCAAAATTCCAACACAAATATTCAGAGAATTTGAAAGAACAATACTCAACTTCATGTGGAAAAACAAAAATCCACAATAGCCTGAACAATCTTTTACAATAAAAGGAACTTCCAGAGACAGCAATAGGAACAGGGAAAAGCATACTAAACAGAATACAGGATAAAGGATTAGAAAAGACAACGTGCTGGAAAAGACACAAACACAAGATAGGTTAGGAAAGGTAGAAAGGGCTGGGGAGGAAAAGAAAGTTTAAAGCATTGGAAAGGAGAAAGAGTTTAGAAAAGGGAAAGGTAGACAAAAGGACTGGAGAGCTGGTGCTGAGAAAGAGGAAGGGAAAGAGAAGAGGTGGGGCATGAATAGGAAGAAGCAAGGTAATGGGAGCAGGGAAAGGAACCTGGGAAGGGAAAACTGGTGATGATGCTTTTGGAAAGGAGGGCAGCGATGGAGGAATTAGAAATGGGTAAGGGTATAACAATGAAGGTTAGGGTGGGACAGAGAAAAGAAAGAAAAGAAGGAACAAGGAAGAAGGGTCCTAAAAACTAGTGGGATGAAAAACTTAGAAACAAGTATTGTTAAGTGGAAAACCAGAAAAGCAATGGGTAAGCTGGATGGGGCAGGAGGTATTATAAAGTTAGGTAAACAATTGGGAAGAGAAGTAAAAGATCTGAACAGTACTAAAATCAGAAATGGAATAGTACGGGAAGGTGGGAGAGGGAAAAAGATATGGGAAAGTCTTGAAAAGCCTGAAAAAGGGAAAGGAGAAAAACAGAAAGGTACTGGTAAGGAGAAAGGAAGTCAGAACGACAGAATGGAGGTGGTCTGGGAGAACAGGGGAGGAGGGCACACAGGGAGAGGGGATAGTAAGAGAGAGGGCGTTGGGAAGGGAGGAAGCAAACTGGAGGCAGATAAACTGGAAGGGGGAAGGCAATAATGACTGAACAGTACAGCGGAAGCCAGGGGAAGGAGGAAACAGAGAATGTAATTAGGCAATGTGGAGGGGAGGGGTGAAAAGCATATTAAAGGTGTTTGGGAAGTAAGGAAGTGGTAAGGAGGTTGGATAGGGGAAACAGGGAAAAGAAACTCCCAATAATCATCAATAGCATTTAAAACCTACTAAGAATGAAAAAAGTGGTTATAAACAAATCAAACAAGTTCTAATAATTGATTTGGGAAAGTACACCACAGAGTCCAAGTCCTGGGGTTAGGCAAAAGTTTGAGAACAAGAAAAGTTCCAGAAAGCCCTCAACAGGAAACGTTAAAGTGAGACTCCTCAGGAGAAAGGGAGATGTTGGCATGGACGAATCTCAACAAACATTCTACTCACTGCCATGGTAAGCAGAGAGCTCCACTAGGCCAAAATCAGCACTTGGCATCCATGGAGAGGGCCCACAACTCTGAGAGAGTTCACAAGCTGGCCTAGAAACCCCAAAGGGCCTGAGGGCCTCAGGGCAACAGCCCACACAATGGCCCAAACTGCCTAACAGACACCAGGGCATTCTGGGAACCAGAAGTGAGCAACATTCTACATCGCCCCTGTCCTGGCAGGGCCGAACACAGAGCCTGTTACCCAAGCCCACAGCCTGTGCTGCAGAAGAGCTGGTCCCCTCCTGATTACTAAGTAGGGGGAAATGGAGGAATTAGAACTCAGTCCCAATACTGACCTGACTGTGGGGTAGCAGGGATACCCCAAAAACTTACATAGGATTTATAACAAAGGGTTAGGTGAAAAGGACAGGAGAACTTTTTACCAGTGACTGAAGATGAGGAAATTTCCATATCCCTTCTCTTGTTTTTTTTTCCTTTATCAGAGAGGTCAGGGGAAACACCTTTAACATGGGGAAAGGGCTGTGAAATGAGAGGCTGAGGGTGGGGGAAGAGAAGTATTTGCAAAGAGGCAAAAAATAGAACTAGGTTCTTTACAAATGGGGTACAGAGAGGAAATGGGTGAGAAAGGGATAAACCTATGGGAAGGGGAGGAAACACTGAAGGAGGAGGAGCAATCTTAGAAGACAGGGACTGTGGGAACAGGAACATGGGAAGTATGGGGGAGGGGTGAGAGGTGAAGGGAAAGGGGTCAGACAGAGAAGAGGCACATAAAAAAGAAAGACAATAGGGAAAGAGAAAGCAGTGGAAGAGAGAGAAAAAAGGTAGGAAATACAGAAAGAATTGTGAAAGGAGAAATGGGAGTGACTTTAAAATGGAAATCTAGCCAGGATGCCAGCAGAGGACTTGGATCCCGGATCTCCTGAAGCAGAAGTAGGAGAATTTCTGTGAGTTTGAGAGAACCCTACTCTACACAAAGACTTCCATGAAATCCAGAAGCACATGGACAGGCATATCTGTAAAAGCAAATGAAAGTAATAAAATGATGATGAGGAAGAGGATGAAATTAATATTAATAAGCAAAAATATAATGGAAAACTAAGAGTGGCTTGAAAGGCAAAAAAGAAAGAAAGAAAGAAAAAAAGAAAGAAAGAAAGAAAGAAAGAAAGAGAGAAAAGGAAAAAGTTTCAAAGGGGAAAAATATAAGAAAGGTTTTCTTGCCTTAAAATAGAAAAATGTTTTAGAATTTTTTAAATGGGAGGAGAGAAATACAGTGAAAAATTGGGAAAAAGGGAAGACACAGATGGAATGGTGCTTGTAACAGAGCAGTCAGCAATGGGGAAAGGAATGTAATGATTAAAGGGCAAAGGAAGAAAGGGCAGATGGTATAGGGAAGGAATGAGGGAATTGGAAGGGCTTAGGAGGAAAGGCAAGAACTTCCCCTAAGAAGGGGAAGAAATGCAGGTCAAAAGAGATGCAGGAGGAGGAAATAGGCACAAGAAAGATGGAAAGGGGTGTGGAAGAAGAAAGGAAGGGAAGAGAAGTTAGACTAGGAAAGGTTAAGGAAGAAAATGAGAAAGACACAGAAAATACCAAATCAGGAGACAAATTCCACCACTTCTGGCCAACGTCAACCAGCGCATAGGAGGCAGGCATCAGTAGAGAAAAGGGAAATTCCTGAGTTCTGGAGAGACAGGAACAACGAATGAATGAACCACGGAATGTAGAAATGAGTGAAGGACATACAAAGGTTATCACTGGGACAAGGGGGATCAGAAAGTGTATGAAGCTGTGAAAATAACTTAAACTGATGAAATACTCATTAAGAAACAGTCAAAGAGTCAGATATGAAAAAAAATTCACTGACAAAAACTCTCCTAAAGGCAAACCTTAATTGCCTGACACCATTAAAAGTTGACAAGAATACAGACCAACAGAAACTTTTACATGTTCTTTCCTGGGAGAAATTGAACCTCACTTTAGAATAAGTTTTAACCCTATGCTATACAAGAGACAGTCACTATTAAACACAGCTCTCACAAACAGTTACATACAAGGTCTACTGTCAGGTGCCTATTCCCAAAGCAGCAACAGACAAAACAACAAAACTCTATGAATTATCAAAAATACTTACAAAAGGATTTTTCATAAACTAAGTAGACATGCATACTCAGGATGGTATCTTTGTATGCCTGTCTTTCACTGAGAATAAATTACAGACAGGAGACCAAATAAGGATAATTCTGTACAGACAGGTTAACATCATCTAAACATGTAAGAATGCTAATATCTGAAACAGTATTCTTTCATTTTATCAAAGACGCCACTACTGAAAGGAGGAATGGCTATGACCTGGGGCAGGAGACGCAGGTCTGTGCTCCAGCCAGCTGTCTGAGAGTCTGAGGAGAGCACATGACAACTGACTACTTCCAAACCCACCCAGTGACGGAACAGTCACAGAGCTGACCTAGGCCACTGCTGAGAATGTATTTCAACTTAAAACAAAAGATGGGTAAGAACTGAGATTTTGCTCATGAAAACGTTCTGAATACCCTGGACTAGGTTGGAGGTTGTTAAGAACTAGGCGTGTCTGGGGCTTTCCCTGATGCCAAAATGTATGAAGAAATAACTTAGTTTCTTGTTCAAATCCAGGTACATACTCTACAGGTAAGAATCATTTTAGATGATTTTATAACAGTAATAAATATACACAAATATACATAGGTATTTATGATTATAAGTTTATATACACATTCATACTTTTTAATTTTAATGATTCAATGTTCTTGTACTCAAGGCATCACAAAGGAACACTAATTCAAGATCTTAAGCTGCCTCCTTTTCTTCAGTCCCTTCCCTCCCTGTTGTTCAGAATTTTCATTTTTCAACATTGTAGCCTTGTTTCTGTTGGATTAGACTGACATCATTTATGAGGAAATTACGTTATAGTCAATTCATATGCATACTATGGGTCTAAGCAATCTTGTGTCTACATGGACAGCTCAAACCAATCAATATTAAACACATTTGACACTGTTAGGAAATATTTTCCCTTGAAACTCTCAACTATATGTTCTTACATCTTTAAATTTATTGAAACATTTTCAGGTAATCAAAGGCAGATTCTTGATTGAAAGTAAAGACTCTAAGTGTTTGAGCAATACACCCCAAGAACTAGAATACAAAAGCAACAGAAGCACCTGAGGGAAGAGAAAGAGCTCTATAGAATCCCGCTGTTCCTATGTAATTGTACTCCCAACCCTTCTGCCTCTTCCTTCACGCAGTCCTCAGCCTGGCTTCTCTTACTTTTCTCTATGTTATGGCCATACTTACTCCTCCTGCACGTACTTCTCTTCCTCCCCCTGTAGTCTGGGGTCCGTATTTAGCAATCAGTTGTCCTACACTGGCAGGTTGTTTTCTGCTGACAGGTTCCTGAGAGAGAGAGATGACCAGAGGATGAGAAGTTAGAGAAGATAGTAAAGTTTGGGATCAGGTGTGCTTATACAAGTTGACTGCTGGTACACGCAAGAATACTAGGCATTTCTACATGCTCTATACACAATTTTCCTGAAAGGAAAAATGGGACAGTGTCAGCCAAAATTCTATTACAAGGGGACAAAGTCAGCAGAAAGTTGATTAAGTAATGATGCATAAAAGTAAAGCAGAGCAATGCAAGTGAGACCCAAGCTGAGTGCACAGAGGCCACAGTAATGATAAGCATTGCCTTTCAGTATGGAACACCTGGGATTTTGGAACCCAAATATACCGCCCCCGTTAGGACCTGCCTCCAGGACACAGCTGGCCTTGTCAAGCCTGTGCCTGGTTTTAGCCCAGGAATTAATGTCCTTCTCTGCACATCTGTGTCTCAGAGAAAGACACAGACAAGTCAAGTGCAAGAACAGGGTCTGAAGAAGGAAAAAAGAAAGAAATACAAAAGAAATATTTATAAAGGTACATTGAGCCTGAAATCCTGGACCTCAGAAAGAAAAAGAGGCCTGGCTCAGAAGGAGAAAAGGGTTGGCTACCTCTCAAACACTGAAAAATTGATGCATTTTTTGTATGTATACATATACAACTATATATACACACATTTATACATAAATACATATATACATAGGTTCCAAGTGGCAAGCAAAGGTAAAAAATAGCAGCTATAAATGACCACACTTATGAAACAGCTTCTTTGGAGTAGAATTTGGCACAGGTTGAAATAAAATGGCGCTGAACACACAACCTGAGACTTTGAAACACAACTAGAGTTCTCTTTACTCCATCCCATATAAACTGAAAGGAAACCTTTCATGTGGGGAATGTCAAAGGACCCTGTGTCCCAGAAATATAAAATACTGGAGGAGGAAGATGGCTTTAGTCCACCAGTGCTGTATCTTCTTCACAGAGCCTGATATCCTGACTGTACACCTTCAAACACAGTTTTCCCCCTGCATCAGGACTGGTACTTGGGGTGGGATAATATTTTCTTTCAATGGACTGTTCTCTTAATCTATTTTTTCTTTCAAAATCTTCACATATTCTTACTAGGCATCAGTGGGGATTATTCCCTCCATCTTCTACAGACAACAAAAGCCCAGAAAATGACATTTGTCACCATGATGTGGAGGACTAATAAAAGCAAGGCTTTGTTCTCAAAAAGACAAGCACAGGTTCCTACAGCAGAGAGACAAAAACAGAACACCTCAGAAATATCAAGGAGACCTCATCTCATAGCCCAGAACTACTCACAGACACATAGCAAACATCTTATTTGTACTTATGTGTAGACAATAACCATATTATATAATACATAGTGAGTTCCAAACTTGAGTAAGAATAACAAAAACAGCTTGCAAAAACATGATGGGAACAAGGCCTGCATGCGATCCAGATATGAGGGTGGAAAACATCATAAAAACTATTTCTGGGAAATGTGGCCCGCACTGACAACGGTACTACTAGGGAGGAGGCAGCCGGTGGACCATGAGCTCAGGACAGTCCAGCACAGGTGCTATATTCTAAGTTTTATTCTTTTAGGAAAACAAAAATGAAACTTTTAATCAAGCACTCAGGAGGCAGAGGCATGGGGATATCTGTGAATTCAAGGCCAGCCTGGACTATGAAGCAACTTCCACACTGCAAGGACTGTTACATAGAAAAACACCATTCCAAAAAATAAACAAAAATAGGAAAAAATTTCCACACTGAACAGAAAGGTAGGCTCATGAAATCACAGCACTGAAGAGCCACTAGACAGAGTACAAAGACCCTAAATCCTGCAAAGCACACAATAAGAAAATGTCACATGTTTTAGATACAAAGCATTCTGAAGCCTGGCCTAGGCAATTTGAAAAGACACAGATTCAAAATTAAAACGTAAAAAACAAAAGGCAGGACCTTAACTATGAGAAGCATGCAAGAAATTATAGATGTAAACAAGTAAACAAAAACCTCAAGGGTAGAAAAACTGTAAATGTATACAAGGAAAAAAACATCAAGCGGACATCTATAAAAAGATGCATGGTACAAAAACTGGCAAAGAGGTTCAATCAGAAACTTATATTATGAATTCAAAGAACCAGCTTCAGGAAGCTGTCCTTGGGAATCTATATGCCTCCAGTAAATAGAGAGCCTTGCATTCCCAGAGATTCAGACATATAAAGGAAACACTAAACCTACTCTATCACACATGCACACAAAGCATACTCAGACAGAAACAGAGAGAGAGAGAGTAGGAGAAGGGGAAGAAAGGGAGGGAAGGAGGGAGGGAGGATGTGACAAAGTAAGGGATGGAGGGGAGAGACTGATTCAACCCAAAACTGAAACAAGCAATTCAACATTAATGAGAGGGTGTCTCAAGATAATACTACAGACAAAGGCTATGTGACATCTTTCCACTGAAATACACTAATAATATCACTGTCCAGTGCTGGACATAAGAACAGAGATGAAAATAATCCTTTACATATTATTAAAAGTGGAAACAGATAGACTATTAACACCTGATCCTCCCAGTATCATCAATTGCAACAGGTATATATGGTCTGCTACATTTACATCTACTTCAAAAGTATACCCTTAAAAATACAGAGATCTACATTCCATCAATGGTACCTTCAAAGCTACAAGTCCCACTCTGCTCCCAAACCCCCTATACACCGTAACCTCAGAAAAACTCTGAAACACAGGCTGCCAATACACAGAGATGCCCAAGAGGTGAATGCCAAACTACCCGGCAGGGCACCCTATTCTCTTGGTCTCCATACAAGTGCAAAACCCCGGGAACCTTCACCACTTGCCTCAGCTTCTCTGGCCAGCCAGCAGGCAAGCTTCCAGCAGGTAGGCTGCACCAATACCCCCAACCCATCAACTGGACCCTGTAAGCGATAAGTCCCACACTGCCTCCAAACTCTCCTATGCCCAACAACCTCAGAGGGAACTCTGAAACACAGGTTGCAAATACACAGAGAGGATCATGAGGTGAGTTACCAACTACACAGCGGGGTACCCCACTCCCTAGGCTCTCCATAACAGGACAAAACTCCCAGCCCATTCTCCCACCTTCCTCAGCTTCCCTAGACAGCCAATAGGGATTCTTCCTGCAGGCATGCTGTTCTAACACAACTTTCCAAACAATTGAACTCTGTAAGCTACAATTTCCATTCTGCCTCCAAGTCCTCCTATCCCCTAGAACATCAGAGGATCTGTACATCCAGGCTGTAACTACACAGAGAGAACTCAAAGAAGTAAGTAACCAAAAACCCAGTGGGGAATCCAACCTCTTGGCCCTGCATACCAAGGTAAAACCCTGGACCCCATTCCAACAATTGGACCCTGTAGGATAACAAGTCTCACTCTGCCTCCAAGACCTCCAATTTCTCATGATTGCAAAGGAACTCTGAAGCATAGGCAGCGACTATACAGAGAGGACCAAGAGAAGAACTCTGAAGCACAGACTGACAACACAGAGTGGACCAAAATAGCAAACTAAGATAGCAGAACAAGACTGTTGAACAAGAGAGCGGGCCAAGAAGAGACCTCAGTGGGGGATCACAAACCATATAAAGGAGAGAAAATGACTTAAACTGATGATATACACTTTAGGACACTGTTCAAGAATCAGATATACAAAAAAATAACTGACAAAAACTCCCCTAAAAACAAACCTTAATTGCCTGACAGCTTTGAGAGTTGATCAGAGTACAGACCAACAGAATCTGTTACATGTTCTTTCCTGGGAGAAACTGAACCTCACTTTAGGATAAGTTTTAACCCTGTGTTCTACAAGAGACAGTCACTAGTAAACACAGCTCTCAGAAGCAGTCATATACAATATGCATGGTAAAGTGCCTATTCCCAAAGCAGCAGCAGACAAAATAAAAAAAAAACTCTACAAATTATCACAAATACTTATAAAAGGGTTTTCCTAATCTCAATAGACATGTATTCTCAGGATGGTATCTTTTTAAGTCAGCTTTTCAACGTGAATTAATTACAGACAAAAGACCAAATGAGGATAATTCTGTACAGACAGGTTAACATCATCTAAACATGTAAGAATGCTAATATCAGAGACAGTATTCTTTCATTTCATCAAAGACACCACTACTGAAAGGAGGAATGGCTATGACCTGATGCAGGAGACTCAGACCTGTGCTCCAGCCAGCTGTCTGAGAGTCTGAGGAGAGCACATGACAACTGACTACTTCCAAACCCACCCAGTGACAGAACAGTCACAGAGCTGACCTAGGTCACTGCTGAGAATATATTTCAAACTTAAAACCCAAAAGAAGGGTAAGAATTGGGATTTGGCTCCTGGAAATATCCTGAATACCCTGGACTCGGTTGGAGGTTGTTAAGAACTAGGCGTGTCTGAAGCATTCCCTGATGCCAAAATGTATGGAAATATAACTTAGTTTCTTGTCAAAACACAGGAACATACAATATAGGCAAAAAGATATTTTTAGGTGATTTCATAACTAATATATACACAAGTATATGTACAAATGTTTGTAAATAAAAATACATATATATTTTTAATTTTAATGATTCAATGTCCTTGTCCTCTGAGGCATCACAAAGAAAAACTAATCTGAGATGTAAAGCAGCTTCCATTCTTCAGTCCCTTCTCTTCCTGTTGTTTAGAATTTTTATATTTCTCCTGTGAATCCCTGTGTGTTTTGGATTAGACTGACATCATTTATGAGGGTTTCAGATTACAGTCAAATCATATGCATACTATATAGGTCTAAGCAATCGTGCATCTCACAGATAGCTCAAACCTATCGATAGGAAACACATTTGACTTTGCTAGGAAATATTTTGCCTTGAAACTCTCAATTATATGTTCTCATATCTTTAAATTTATTGAAACATTTTCAGGTAATCAAAGGCAAATTCTTGATTGAAAGTAAAGACTCTTTCTAAGTGCTTTAGCAATACACCCCAAGAACTAGAATACAAAAACCACAGAAGCACCTGAGAGAAGACAAAGAGCTCTTTAGACTCCCGCTGTCCTATGTAATTGTACTCCCAACCCTTCTGCCTCTTCCTTCAGGCAGTCCCTCAGCCTGGCTTCTCTTACTTTTCTCTATGCTATGGCCATACTTACTCCTCCTGTTCCTGCAAATCCTCCTCCTCCTCCTGTAGTCTGGGGTCCATACTGAGGAATCAGTTGTCCTACACCAGCAGGTTGTCTTCTACGGACAGATTCCTGAGAGAGAGAGAGAGAGAGAGAGAGAGAGAGAGAGAGAGAGAGAGAG